TGGAGTATTTCGACCGTTACTGGGTAAATGCAGTGATGGCAGAGAAGAAGCTCTACCAGGAGTCTGTATGCCATTGACACCGCCTACTAACGGACTGGTAAGACGCTCTAATGGTCCGCTTGGCACTGCTAACGGTTTATACTCGCATCCGCTTTCAGATCACCTACATCCAAGCAGGGAGACAAGAGAACTTTGAAATTGGAACAACAGCTTTGCTCTACTGTATGGCTTCGCATGCCGTGACCGGACAAGCCACAGTAGTCTGTTCCAAAGATGGTTGGCAACCATCCAGTGGGCTAGGCACGTGTGATCCAACAGAACGCCAGAACTAGTCTGCCGTTGATTTTGTTTATATCCTATGGTATCTGTAATGATTGTTGCCACAGCTCAGATCTACTTTCCTTATATGTCTTTCTCGTTAATAAATAGTTATTACTGCCACTCCTGAATGCACGAAACTTAACGTTGATAACTCTATGCCGTCAACGAATGCATTGCGGATGTCCCATCCAACATAATAAAGTATCACCATAGTCCAAAAACGTCTGTCCCATAGGCGTATGTTTTGCTCTTGTTTTTTCTTCGTCCTGGAAGGATAGGTAGAATCAGGCCAGTGCCAAGCTTCAGACTGTCACACTTATATATGGATAGGGGACTAAAATCGGGACCGACGCTCCTATGGAAAATAGCAATTACATTTTCCTTTGTGGAGCTATTAATACCAGTCAAAGTTAATTAACAATTAATGGCATTTTCAAAAAAATACTGTGGGGGGTAGTTAACGGAATTAACGGAATATGTGCACATGTGACGATCCACTAAATTTTGAGGAACCCCTCATCGTGGTAAACCTGACTGATGCGGTGGGACATAATACTACGGCTAGGTTCAAGATCCTGATTCCATGGCTTTCTTCGGAGGTGACCTCCATGAGGCCTTGTTGATCTCAAGCGTCACTCAGAGGAAGTGAATGTCGCGCAACGAGGTTTCTATATTCATTTTCTGATAACTTACTCTTCCAACATATCTTCTAATCTGCAAAATCCGATGGGTCCATTTAATGATTTGTACCCGAGTTACAACCACTTAGGACTTTATAATTCTTCGAAAATAAACTATTTCGACTAATGGACTCTCCCACTCCCCCTTGATTCCCATAGATGGCACTCGGTCGTGATGGAACAAAACTTGTTCTTCAAGCACGAGGGAATGCGGCTTTTTCTATACTCAAACTACAAATATCTATAGACTCTTTTACCAGCGCCATAGCATTGAAGGACATGGGCCAAATCACGGAGTTGGAGCTTGCCCATCGCTTTGAAATCTCCATATTTTCACAAACAGGGGAGCTTCCTATCGCGAGTGATGGGTCCATCGTCAGTGCTAGCAACAGGCGACCGCAGAGTCACCACCCTCGTCTTCAAATGAATAACTAGCATGTTTATATGAATGACATCAGTAGGTGTGGTTGAAGAGCTTTGTATTACCTCCCGTCCCTTCCTAGAAGGTGCACACGTTACACTGCAAGGAACAATGACTTCCAACAAATACATTCGTGCGGAATGTTCCGCTGGTGACATGTTGAAGAGCGTCTGATCCAGTAAATCATTTACCTCATTCCTCTTTGAAGTTTCCAAAGCCTATTCCGAGTAAATGTTGGAGATTCCCCACTTGGGCTCCACCCTTAATCGGCCGGTGAGAAACGAGAACGACTATTCTTTTAATAACTTTTAGGTTCCTTAAATGAGAGCAAGCTTCGTGGATGGCCAGTACTTAACCCAAAAAGGTTTGGCAAACATTGGGGATGCATTTAATGGGAAAGCAAACGGGCGCATGCATCAAGAGGTCAAACCTTGATGAAATGCCTATCAGTCCATTATAGTACTAGCTGCGCCACCGTTGCACAGATGCGTTTTGCTCGGTTCGGTTGCGTGTTCGCGCAGGGATATAACACAGGGAGTAAAGCTCCGTAAGTTCGCTCTCTGAATCGTTTAGCAGATTTATAACAGAAATTAGAGATCAGCGTTTGAAACCACCTACGGCGGGATGCATCGACTTGGCTGGCCACAAATTTCCTTCTCTTGTAAGATAGGTAAGTTCTTAGGTAAATGTGACTATTGAAGGGGTCGAAGTAGAAAACGCGGACAGCTTTTTGTGTTGGTTATGGCTTTCCTAAGGATTGACGAGATCCTACTGAGCATTTCCAATACAGGATAAAATTGGTGAATAATTTTGATTTTCTGATGCTAGGCGATCAAGTGCTCGCTAGTACACTTAATTCGGCTTTACAGTACTAATCACACCTGGCTATTATGTTCAGAAAGAGTATGCGTTACTGAACAAGGCATGCATTGGTTGCGGAGGTAAGAAAAGTGAGAGTCGATAAGGCATTGCTGTATGTCCTAGAAATACCATGACCATAAACAGCTTTCTCTCAAAAATCTCTCAAATGCAGAGCTCCACATTCAAGGCACTCGAATATAATGATTGAAGTATAGCAGTCATCTCGCAGTCAAACATTATATGTACATTGAATAATGACATCGTTTCCAATATTTGTTAATACTTGCGGAAAAACCTTGTCCAC